TGTAATCTCCATCCTTTGCAAATTCAGACCTTTATCCCCTCCCCTTTGGTGTTTTTATTGTCACAGATTAACCCTGTTTATGCTGTTTGTTGGTGATATTACTCATAATCATAATTTTGTGACCTTTCGTTCTCAGTTTCAGGTAGACTATCCCCCGTGAGTATTTTCTGCATTGAAGTTCTTCTGGTGATAAGTTCTCTCAGCTTCTGTATGTCTAGAAAAGTCTTTATTTCTCACTCACATTTAAATGATAACTTTGCTGGATATATTGTTCTTAGCAGGTAATATCTCTCTTTCAGTAGTTTGATCATTTGGTTCCACTCTCTTCTGGTTTGTAGAGTTTCTGCTGAGAATTCTAATGATATTCTGATAGGTTTTCCTTTATAGGTTACGTTCTTCTTTTCCTTGGCTACATTGATAATTCTTTCTTTTAACTTTTGACAGTTTTAATACAGTGTGCCTTGAAGAAGGCCTCCTTGGGTTGAGGTAATTAGGTGCTCTGTTTGCTTCTTGGATTCTAGGATCTAGTTCTTTCATTAGGTTTGGGAAGTTCTTATCAACTATTTGTTTGAATAAGCTCTTCTTCCCTTCCTTCCTCTCTTCTTCTGGTATGCCTGTTTTCATATTGCTCTCTCTGCTGGAGTCATATAGTTCTCGTAGAGTCCTTTCATTTTTCTTTTCTTTTTTTTTTTCATGCTCAAGTCTCTCTTCCCTCTGCTACATTTCTAGATTTCTGTCTTCGTTATCACTAATTCTTTCCTCCATCTGGTCCACTGTATTTCCTGTGATTGCTAGTTCATTCTTGATCTCTTTTATTGAGTTCTTCATCTTCAGAATTTGTTTGGTTCTTTTTTCAATCTCTTTGGTAAAGTACTCATTTTGTTTGTTGATTTGTTTTCTGAGCTCACTAAATTGCCTGTATTTTTTCACATCTCATTGAGTATTTTCAGAAGTACAATCTTCAGTTCTTTGTCATTTATATCACATATTTCCATGTCTTTAAGTTTGCTTACTGGAGATTTTTCAGTTTCTTTCTGAGTTGCCTTGCTCCCTTGGTTTACTCATGGCATTTGATGGATTCCTTCTCTGTCTCGACATCAATGTATAAGTGGCACTTCTCTAACAGATTACTATGAAGAAGTCTTTCTATTCTTTTCCAGTAGGTGGCACTGAATAGAACAAGTTTTCTTAGCTCTATGAAATCCCAGTGCTGTCCTCCACGGCCAGAGAGAGGCTCCCATCTGTGTAGCCATAATGTGTCGGGGTGGGGTGGACTTGGACTGGCCAGCTTCTTCGTTGTTTTGCCCTCCTGGTAATGATGACCTTAGACCTTTACGGGGTTCCCCCTGCACCCAGCCCCGGGACTGTTCACCCTTTGCTCAGGGATAAAGTGATTCTGTAGTACCTGTTCTTAGGTTTGCAGATAATGTGCTTTGCAGCCCGACACCAAGGGCAAAGGGAGATGAGCTCTGGGAGGCTACAGAGGGTCAGGGCTCTGTGGCTTTGTTTCTCTGTTGGGGATGCTGATCACCCGGCAACCACAGTCGTACCCCATGCTGTGTCCTTGCCTAGGTCTCTGGGCTCAGCTGCAGCTCCTACTACTCATTGCTGCAGGAGTGTCCTTGGAATCTCTTTGCTCCTCCCTGCTGAGTGGAGTGCCAGCCACAACTGGATTTCTTCTTCTCTCTTCTCACCTCCCCAGTTTGTTCCAACTTACCCACCTTTAGATGTTTCAATGCGTGGATTTCTCAGGTGACTTTGTGCATTGAGCAGGAAATCCTTTGTTTAGTTATAGCTGTTGAAATTGTCGAAAATTCAAGGGGGGAGACCAAGGGAATCTTGCATGCTGCCATTCCCCGACATCACCTCACAGTAGCTATTTTAAGAAGAAAGGAATTTAATATAGAAAATAAGATGCTTACAACATCTTTGGAAGGTCTGTCTCCCTAGAACTGGTCTGTCTCTAGAATGCTACCACAGAACGAGCTGACCAAGGGCACTGCTACCTCTGCAGGAGCCCTATAAGGAGAGACTCAAGAAGTGATGTCCTGGTGCTGAGTCACACCACCTTAGCTGGGATCTGGAGATCAGCAAGCTATGGCCATGAACACACTGCTTGAACTACAATCTGGTAATTAGGAAGCCTCTACCCAAATTGTGCCTGCTAGATTCATTATTTCTCACCCCAGGGGAATTGAATGTGCTTGATAGAAGCTAAAGCTCACCTGCAAAGGAGTGTGGGAAACGTAGTTTTCAGTACCAATCTTTGCAGTTCAGGAAGGTATTTAGGGAAGAGGTTGGAACAGAAAAATGAGAAAGCTCATCCAGTTTATGCATCCACTAATTCAGATCTTTCTTTCCTTTTAAAAGATTATGGCAAGAAGGTTATTCCCTCTGTTGACCCAAGAAAGAATATACCTGCCAAATAGGAGTTTTTGTGGTAATTAGACTCAAATTCATACCTGAGTCTAGCAGCCATTATTTACGGAGTTCTCATGCACTCTGCGTTTCAGGGTAAGCCACAGACCGGGCGACCAAGCCTCCTGCACTGGGCTCCTGCTGTCTCAGTTGACCCTTACAAGACAGCTCCTAGGATTGAAATTCGACCAATAGGACTGAGACTTTCCTTGTCTAATTGGAGCTGTGCAGCTATATATCATTTGCTCCTCACTGACCAATCAGAGCATTCCATTCTGACCAATCAGGACAGTGCTATTTGGACTGATATAGATGTGGAGTCCCTACTTGCATACAAATGGACCAATCAGGGAATGGGTGCAGACACTCTTCTCTACATAAGTCAGCTTCACCTTTGTCTCAATGGAGGACACGTTCAGTTTCCATCATGACTGCCTTCCCGTGACTGGAGCTGTAACACCTGAGCCACTTTGAGCTACTTCATACCTGAGTGGTCTCAGCCAAGCTGTTTTAAAGTGAGCTGCTTCAGCCACACTGTTCTACATCTGAGCTTTTTCACAGCTGAGCTGTTTTCACTGAATAAATTCTCCCCCTTTGCCACACCAAATACGGGGACTCCTGTTGGCATTGAATTGATGATGACAACCTTTGGTTGACATCTCTTCTTCTGTTAGTTGCTGCTGGTGATTTCTTTACCCTTTTTAAAAGTACTACTTTGGGCTCAAGTCCTGTAATTTGCTTCATCATAACCCTACCTTTTCTAAGAAGTTCTACCTAAATATACTTTAATTATATATTTTCTAAGTCGTGTGTGTGTTTTAATAATGTAAATTCCAGAACAGTAGGAATGTAATGTTCGTATTTTTTTATTTGTTATGAAGTTAATTTACAAAGTGTTACTCACCTGTTATCTATATCATAAAAGCCTGTGGTCGTGATGCCGTAATGGCGTCACGACCAAATGAGCAGCGGCTCTCACAGCGGGTGGGGTGGGGCGCCAGCAGTGTCCACGGAGCGTGCGAGGTGTCACGGGATGGCAGACATGGCCGTGATGGCAGGCTAGGCCTAGGGGACCCTACACACGCACGATTTAATTGTGTGCTCAGCCTCTAGTTTTATATAATTCTTAAGACTGTCTTGTAGGAAGGGCAGATTTATTATCCCAATTTTACTAATGAGAAATCTGAAATCCAAAAGGATTGAGCAAGTTTCCAAGTCACACAGCTAATCGTAAGAGAGTCACATGGCTAATCGTAAGAGTCATGTGGCTAATGGTAAGAGAGTCACGTGATTAATGGTAAGAGAGTCACACGACTAATCATAAGAGAGTCTCCGACTCCAAGGCCAGTGCCACTTGGCCTTACCCTGACTCTCCTGTGGTAGAAATGCTTGCCTCCATCTCTGACCAGACATCTCACTGCGTCGTCTATGTTCCTGCCAACCTTAATTTAGCACCGATTTAACTAAGTTAAAACCAAAAGTAGGGGGGGAGAGGTGGGGAATAATCTTATGTGACCATTGTATTCTGATAATGAATTAACCTTGTTATAGTCTTGGTTATAATAAAGCTAATATCAGATCTTTTCAGCATTTTCCATCTCTGGTTTTTAGGAAACTGCTCAGCTTCCTCAATAAAATCAGATCCTCCAAGGATGATAGTGGAAACAAGATTTCCCACGTGGGAAGCTTGATCTTGGGGGCACTAGACTCACCTCTGTAATTCACTTTCCTCTTGGTATTTTTTGCTCTTTATTACTGCCTTGATCAAGGAACTTGTATCCCCCATTTACCACTTTTTTACAAGAATTTATTCTTGACTCTTCCACAAATTCCTTGTATTGTAGCCACTGAGACTAAGCTGGATCATTCAGACAGGCTAACACACCCCTGGGTGTTTGTAATATAGGACTTCGGGTTCAGGAACTGCCGGCCTACTTCCCTCTTCCCAGCTGTTACCAAGGAGCAGTGCTCAGACCCGCCTTCTTTATGAAGCACCAGGAAAGCCACTTCTACAAACTGGACTCCTCTCTGTGGTCTTCGTCGTGTCCTCTCTTTAGGCTCCGTTCTCACTGAGCCTTTCTTAGTAAGAAGGGACAGCAGGCACAGGGACCATCTTCAGGAGAGACTGTCCACAAGAACACGGTTTCACTGTGAGCTCAAAGGGCAACCATTTCTGATCACAGATTCCGCAGTGGTCATGAGAGACTTAGACAGAACCTGGGACTAGGCCAGTGATGGTGAACCTTTTGAGCTCGGCGTGTCAGCATTTTGAAAAACCCTAACTTAACTCTGGTGCCGTGTCACATATAGAAATTTTTTGACATTTGCAACCATAGTAAAACAAAGACTTATATTTTTGATATTTATTTTATATATTTAATTGCCATTTAACAAAGAAAAATCAACCAAAAAAATAAATGAGTTCGCGTGTCACCTCTGACATGCGTGTCATAGGTTCGCCGTCACTGGACGAGGATGTTAGAAGGATGCCGAGGGAAGCTGTGTGATTTACCAGGAGCTGGGAAATCGCTGGTACTCCATTGCGAGTGGCTTCAGCTCACACTGCCTATTTATCCTTCCAGGTATCACGAACTGATCACAAAGTATGGGAAGTTGGAGCCTTTGGCAGAAGTGGATCTAAGACCCCAGAGCAGTGCAAAAGTAGAAGTCCACTTTAACGATCAGGTGGAAGAAATGAGCATTCGTCTGGACCAGACAGTCGCAGAACTAAAGAAACAATTAAAAAGCCTCGTGCAGCTGCCCCCGAGCGGCATGCTGCTCTATCACTTCGACCATGAGGCGCCCTTCGGCCCCGAGGAGATGAAGTACAGCTCTCGGGCCTTGCACTCCTTTGGCATTAGGGATGGAGATAAGATCTATGTGGAATCCAAAACCAAGTGACCTCCCAGATTGGACTGCACACCCCAGGACTTCGCAGGGCAGTTTCCTGGGTTTTCTTTAGGAGGGAGAAGATTGGTTTGGTTTGGTTTTGCTTTGCTTTGTTTGGGGGGTAGAGGTGTATCCCCCCCCCACCACCCCGGAATGGGTCGGGGGCTGTTTGAGGTATTTTTTTACCAAGATTTCTTTAGCTCTGCCGGCAGAATTGGCCAAATCTCCAGCCTGTGTGCCCTCCCTCCCCAAAGGATGACTGAGAAACCCCGTCTTACTGTGTGCACCGGGCCACCTGCTGCTGGGTTATCATTCCGTCAGACCCGTGAGGACGAGGGTGGCATGGGAGTGCCTCCCTCCGAGGGTGTCTGGAGAAATCAGGAAACGAGGGTCCTCGCAGGAAGGGCCAGCCCTCCCCCCGTCCCTCTCCTCCCTCCCTCTCGCTCTCTGTGTTCTTTTGGTTCCATTTCTCATTGTGACTTATGTCAGCACGTTTACTAATGGTTTTATTCTGTCCATAATTAACTTCTCAACTTGGGTGATTTTTTTTTTTCATTTCTCCCTTTTGAAATAATTTAAAGTGTTTTAAGCATTTTCTAACCTGATTCTGACTCAGACACTCACTTAGGAGCTAGGACTCTATTAGGAGCTTGAAGAAGAGTAGGCGGAGAGTTCAGCTCCAGGAACACTTGCTGTTACTCTGCACAGCCCGACAGAGCAGGCTGGTCTCAGTTTTAATGTTCATCACACATTGTGTCAGCCTTGGCTCTCATAACATGGAACAGTCAGATCCCAGAGGTTTTTATTTTTTCTGATTGACTCTTTGTCATGACTTTAAGCTTCTGAAAATAGACACCCTAGAGTCATGCATAGCTGAGGGCGAGCTCATGAGTGCAGTGGGGAGCCTGGGGGTGCATGGGGCGGGCGCTGTGAGGCTTCCTGGGGTCGTCATTTGAAGGCCCTGCCCCTGCACTTGTCAGGGAAAGATGGGAACTAGCATCGGAGGAGCTCTGGTTCCAGTTCTCGCCTGGGACCTGGTGAAGCCATAATGGAGGATTCTCCTGGTTTCACAGTTTCACTTAGTTGCCCCTGCAGCACCACTCTGATTGGTGAGTGTCCAGACTTCAGAACTGCCTCCACATCAGAGTTTTTGCAGAAGCATATTTAAAGCACTTGTCTTTGAGATCTAGCTCCTTCCCTGCTCTGAAGTGTTGATTTGTTCTATCCCTTTGTCAGTCAGTGCAGGCTCTTGCTTATAATGTGTTTTTCTTGGTCCACCGTGTATAGAGAGAGACTTCGCACAGGCGGGCAGGAGGCATGCACAGGCAGGATTTTCAGAGAATGTAATCATTAGGATGGTTTTTGGCCTTTTAACATGCTTCCACCACTCCTGTGAATGTCTTAGGAAATTCCTTAGGTGGCTTGTAAATTCTTCATGTAAATGGTGTTGTGTTTATTACTATTACTTTTTAAATTTTCCTATGCCATAATAGCAGAAATTTATTCTCTTATGCACTTCAGGTTCAGTGTTTGTAAAGCCTTTGACTCAGGCCTCCCGAGTCCAATCTATATTCACCGAAACAGTAAAGGTGGAAACCAAAGGGATTGCGATGACGATGAGGCCCCGTCTCCTCTCCGGACTTGGTCCTTCCCAGTCAGAACATGGGCTGTGGGGGCCATGCTGCGCAGACAAGAGTCATTATTTTGCAACCACAATTTCCCGGCATATTTTTGGAAGTGGGCAAAAGTGTGGCCCTAGTGTCATGAAGGTTAAAACTGTGGAGGCTTTGTGTATGTGTGCATGAGTGCAGGCGAGTTTGAGAGAGAAACTGTATAGTTGAGCCTTTTGCTTTTGTCAGCCAAGGAGATAGATGCACCCTTATTTTTTGAGGTTGTGTGGCCCCTGACTGTCCCCCACAGAAGGCAGAGGGAACACGTGGGTTATGCTTTAATCATAAGTGGGATGGTCACAATTGGTAAGCTATTTTATATATGACAGAGTTCTATGAAATGCTTTTGTACTGTAGAGGCCTGCCACCGACTGCAGGTGCACTTCCATCACACTCGCATGTCAGGGGACTGCTCCTTTACCTGTGGGTGTGGGTGTTGTAGGGCATTGTAATGGATGGTTTTAAAACTTGCTGAATAATTTTTGATTGAGACAAAATGTAATACAATGACCGGTCTTTTAGAGTTACAGAAGTGAGAAAAGCGATTGAACATGTGTACTTGTAGACTTGTTTGGGTGGCTGAGTAAAGATGCTTCTTTTGAAATAAAATTGGTGCTGCATAGACACTTGTAACCAAAATTATTTTTATAACAGGCCAAGGAGGGAAGACACCATGGACCTTTGAGTCTACAAGTTATGCATAGTTGATTGCTGCTTTCTCTGTATTTTAATACTCACAACTCCAGGTTCAGCGAGAGCATATTACTGAGAGCATATCTGTGATCAGAATGCCATCATAGCCAGTATTACAGCTTGGTTGCTACCGCACAGTGTATAAAACCTGTCTTTTCTAAAATAGACATTCTTTCAGTTATGGAAAAGGAAAGGAGTAATAAAAGAAATCTAAACCAAAACCAAGGGGCCCTTTTGATATGTGAGCATGTAGCTGCTGAAGCCACATAGAAATCAATTTTTTGATTTGAAATATCCCAGAATGTTTTAAAGAAAAAAAGTTCAGAGTTGTATGTCTTTTTTATTAGAAGTTTCTATTGTTTCTGCAACCTATTGCCACCATTGCCATAAATACATAAAGCAGCAGGTATTCTTGTTTCTTTTAAACCTTTTGATGAAAATCAACCCAAAACAGGAGCTATGTGTAACAGGGCCTAATGTTACTATGCTGTGTTTAAAATTTTGTTTACATAACAAAATGGAAGTTCGGTTCTAGCCCAACGTTTCGGCCGGGGGGCGGGCACGTGTTGTCGGGGTTGCGTCACATGAGCAGAGACGCCTCGAAGGAGCTGCACCACCCGGCGGGGCCCGGGCCGCGCTGTCTGAGCCGCTGGGCGCGGGCATTTCTGCGTGTGTCTGGTTTTCCGTGTCATGTTGGACGGAACCGACACGAATGGCTCCCGAGAGCACCCAGACCCGCTCAGGGCCCTGGGCACTGTCCTCGGGCGCACGGTCGGCGGAGGGGGCTCGGCTCCTGCCGCTTGTCTCCTGCAGTTGATGGAAAGATGTTTTATTTCAGAATATAATTTAAACATGTTCTTTGCACTTTTATTAATATATAGAGAGTTAATCTTTAAAAAAATTAAAAATCCAAGTCCACGTTCGCTTCGTGTTCTGCTTTTTTTCTGGATTGTGTGGTCACGATGTGTGTCTGTGCGGGCCCCGCGCTGTGCCTGCGCCCTGGGGGCACCTCCCATCTTCACGCGCTGACCCGGGATGTTGCTGAAGTTAAACCACAC